ATATATATATATATATATAATGTTTGTTGAATATCCACAATTGTTGCCCTTTTCTCTTGAATGCTAACAATTTCAGAACAGTTTAATATGCAATAATGTGAAGATACATTTAAAGTTTTTGTTTTTTTTCAGTGTGAACATGACCCATGCCAAAAAGGTGGCATTGGAAAGAAACCTAAAAAGTCTGGACTTGGGTCCATGTTTGAAAAACGCTCAACTCCAAAGATGAGTAAACTAAAGGTGAGATGTTATTCCCTTCTCTCAAAGTGGTAGCCTCACTCCTTTTCCCCTTCACACAAAGAGCCTACTGAACACCCAGGGTCTTCTAGCAGCTGGAGTAATTCCCATCCTTCTCTAGGACATGTTTATGTCTTAGGCAAAGTTTTTGCAGTTCTGTCTACTGAAGAACTGTGACTACTGTTTTATATGGGTTTGTACGAGTTACTCACTAAACAAATTACTAGATGATATGATTATCAATATGTTATTTTTTAATTTAACTTTTATTTTACTACAAATATTTTTTTATCAATGATCAATTACTACTGTGAGCCAATAACAAAATTACAGCAAAGTAATAGGTCATCACATCACAGAATCCATGAATGACTGAAACGTTCATGGACGACTGCCCCAAGGTCATAGCACCCTAGCTTTAGCCTTTAATGTCATTATATTTTCAAATAACGACATTTCAGAGAGGCTTTCAAACCTAAAGATGAATCAGCAAACCAATAATGTAGCAGCACAGAAATAACAAAGAGCATACTGTATATGATATGGAACGTGGTGCAGGACAATGCAGTAACCAAAGTTCACAGTTTATATTTGGTTTATTCTTATGTGTTTCCAGGAACTTCCAAGCCCTGAATCTGGGGTGATAGTGAAAACAGCTAAAGATGGAAATGCAGAGGGTCTCATTTATGGTGGAGGAGGCAAAGAGGGGCTTTTCATTAAGGAAGTTGTACCAGAGTCCCCAGCATCAAAAAATCTGAAACTAAAAGAAGGTAAGAAATAGATTATCTTATGGTCTCATTAACTTCCAGACTATATTTGTAACTGCATTTCAAAATCTACATATTTAATATTTTATCTCATTTTTAACAGGTGCAGACTCTGAGACTGTTTTTTAACTATTTCTTTCTTCAATGCAGGTGATCAGGTTCTAAGCGCCACTGTGTATTTTGACAACGTTCCTTATGAGGATGCCATTCAGATTTTGGAGCATGCTCAGGCTTACAGAATGAAACTCTGCTTGAAACGTAAACCAGAAATAATCAAGACTGAACCAGCGATGGAAACTGAACTTATCCCTGTAACTAGTTTTTGGTCAGATTGTCTGTTCAAACCTTTTGCAATGGGTTTCAATATTAATATTTATTTTTTGTTATTCATCAGGAGGAGGAGTGTGGTGTTCTAGAGATGAGGGAACCAGGAAAAACCAAAAGACGTGGAGATGCTCGCATTTCATGGCCAAAGTTTCCCTCTTTTGGAAAAGGGCGGAGGTCCCGCTTTACAAGATCCCACAGTACCTCAGAGGCTGACGAGCAGAGAAAACTAGAGCTCAGTCCCACCACAAGTGACACAGAGTCTCCTATTAAATCTCAGGATGTTCTCAAAGGCAAGAAGAGGCACAAAGTGAAGCTTCCTGCTCTGACGAAAAGAGGCCGGATCAGTTCATCTGAAGAACAGGACTCAGACTTACCAACAACTGGGCCGACCAGCGGGGACATTCATCAGACAGTGGCTGACATGTTATCACCTGAATGCCTTGGGAGCCCTGAGGAAGATCTTAAAGTAGTAGAGGAATTTATACTTGAGCAAAATTACCAAAAAGAGACTGAACCTCAAATTGTTCAACACAAGGTTGAACTGATCAGTATAGGCAGCTCCCTGAAAACAGAAGATACAACTGCTGCTTTGGCAGATCAAGGAAGCCCTTGCAAATCTCCCAAAGAAAAGAAAAGTAAGAAAGATAGATCACAATTAAAAATTAAAATTTTGGGTAAGGAGAGATCACACAAAAAAGACACAAAAGCAAAAGGATCACCAAAAAGGCTGAAAACACTAGGGGCCAGTATTGAGAAAGCAGAACAAAATGGAGCGGAAAAGTCAGACACCATCAAAGTCACTGAATCACACGCAGAACTACAGGGAGACAATCTTGCACTGGATGCTAACACTCAAATAAGTGACAGTGAAAGCTCAATGGCCAGGACCTTGACAACACAGATGGACATCAGCATTCCAACAATTGAACTAGATTTCTCCGATGTCCCTTTTATGCGCAAATCTCCACAAAAAGAACAAGCAAAGATGGAAGATATTAAGTCAAAGCAGGAAACAAAAACTGCATTTAAATTGCCTAAACTTGGCTTTAGTGATATTGAGACAGAGGAAACTATTCATGGGGCCAATGTTAAGGAATGTCCTACTAAATCTAAGAAGCTTCTTTACGAAGATACAACAGTGAAAAGGGATCCTTATGACCAGTTGTCCGAACGCACTCACACCAGAGCCCAACTGCCCAAACGTGAGGACATAGAGATTCCAGGTATGGAAGACATGTCTGTTAAGGCCAAAACCAAGGGAATTAAAGTGCCTAAGGTGGCTTTAAGTGGACATTATGATGAAATTAAATCTGAAACCGTACAAATGTTGATTGATGTTGACAGTGTAAAAGAAGCTGTTTCAAAATTGCCTGGATATAAGTTACCCAAAGTAGACACATCAGGTATGCCTATTCCTGAAGAAATCACGGTGATCGATGCAAATGCACAAAGAATATCAGTGAAAACTCCTACTAAGGTTTCATCTACCAAATCAAAACATGAGATGCATCTCACTAAAAATGACATGCCCATCGCAGAAACTAATGTGCACATTAAACCACATAGAAGAGAAACAGATTTGAAAAAAGAGGTGTACAAACGAGAAGAAATAATAATTCCTGGCACAGAAAGTAAACAAAAAACTGAGAAAACACAGGATGCAATAGGTACTACCTTTGAAAGCCAATCGACTGCTATGCCTACACTTTATAAATCAAACGAAAGATCAACCAAATCAAAAACAAAATCTGATGCCAAGATATCTGGAATTGAAAGCATTGAATACATTGACTCAACTTCAGATTGTCTCGTTAAATCAGGACAAGTTTTACTAGACATTTCCTTAATAAATTTGAAAGGATCTAAAACTGCTTTCGGACTCTCAAGGAAAGAAGAAGACACCATAGCCCCCCAAACAAAAGCTGAGTACAATGTTTTAGACAACAAAAAGGAAGCTCACTTATCCAATTTGCAGACCAAAGGTGAGCCAAAGGAAAAGGAAGCTATATTTAAAATGCCAAAATTAGGTTTTGAGTTACCAAAGTATAAAGGTCCTGAGATTTCTAAATGTACAACTATGGAAGACCATAATACGACAGCACCAAAGATTAAAGCCAAAGTAACACTCCCAAAAACCCCTGAGGTTGTTGGGGATGTTTCAATAGCAGAGCAAAGCTGGAAGTCAGCTAAAGTAGAAGTCAAAGCTATGGAAATGATGCTTGATGAACAAGAAAGCAAAGTTAAGATTCCATCATTAGGAATTACAATGCCAAAAATGGAAACACCTAGACTAGAATCAAGCAGCCCGACGCAGCCCGACGATCCAGAAGTTAATGTTACTCTTACAAGTGGAGATAGATCCATTCCAGAGCAAAAAATGAAACTGGACACATGTGAATTGGAAATGGAATCCACACAGTTTGAGGTTGAGCATGATCTTGAGGATGGACTTGATAAAAGAGGAAGCAAATTTAAGATTCCAAAGTTTGGAATTAAAATGCCCAAAATTAAGGGACCGGAATTTGACTTGAGCTTGTCCAGAAAAGATGATGATGTCACATTACCAGAAGGCAAAGTTGAAGTCACACTCCCAGATGTTCCAGACGTGGATGTTTCTTTTGGAAAAGTAGATTTTTCAGTTCCAAAGCAAGAACTGGATGTCGAAAAACCTGATTTGGAAATCAAGGCTCTTGAAACAGATGCTAACCTTGATGGACAAGGAAGCAAATTTAAGATGCCAAAGTTTGGAATAAAAATGCCAAAAATTAAAGGACCCGAAATAGATTTTAGCATGTCAAGCAAAAGTGATGGTGTCACATTACCAGAAGCTGAAGCTGAGGTCATACTCCTGGATGTTCCGGATGTGGATGTCAGTGTTGAAAAAGTAGACCTTTCTGTTCCAAAGCAAGAACTGAAAGTTGATAAACCAGATTTGGAAATCAAGCCTCTTGAAGTTGATGTTGAGCTTCATGGACAAGGAAGCAAATTCAAAATGCCAAAGTTTGGAATTAAAATGCCAAAAATGAAAGGACCTGAATTGGATTTTAGTTTGTCCGAGAAAGACATGGGATCTACCCTACCAGAAGTTACAGCAGATATTAAACTTGCAGAGGCACCAGAGGTTAAAGGTACTCCTGGAAGTGTAGGTGTATCTATTTCAGAGCAAAAAGTTGAAATTGAAAAGCCTGACCTAGAAATCGAACCTCCACATACAGAATTTGAACATGATGAACACAGGACCAAATTCAAGATGCCAAAGTTTGGCATTAAAATGCCAAAACTGAAGGCACCTGAAATGGATTTAAGTTGGTCCAAGAAAGATGTAGATATCACACTAATCGAAACTAAGGCTGAAGTGAAACTGCCAGAAGCTCCTGAAGTTGATGTTACACTAAAAAATGTAGATGTTTCTCTCCCAGAGCAGAAGATCATAGTTATACAACCTGAAGTGGAACCCAAATCTCTAGAAACCAAGGTTGAGATTGATGGACAAGGAAGCAAATTGATGGACAAGGAAGTAAAATGAAGATGCCAAAGTTTGGGTATAAAATGCCTAAAATGAAAGGTCTTGAATTGGATTTTAGGTTGTCCAGAAAAGATGATGAGATCACATTACCAGGAGCTAAAGCTGAGATCACACTTCCAAAAGTTCCTGATGTAGATGTTTCTCTTGGAAAAGTAGAGTTTTCTGTTCCAGAGCAAAAGCTGTAAGTTGAAAAGCCAGATTTGGAGATCAAACCTCTTGAAACTGATGTTAAACTTGATGGACAAAGAAGTAAAATGAAGATGCCAAAGTTTGGGTTTAGAATGCCTAAAATGAAAGGTCCTGAATTAGATTTTAGTTTGTCCAGAAAGGATGATGATGTCACATTACCAGGAGCTAAAGCTGAGAACACACTGCCAGAAGTTCCTGATGTAGATGTTTCTCTTGGAAAAGTAGAGTTTTCTGTTTCAGAGCAAAAGCTGGAAGTTGAAAAACCAGATTTGGAGATCAAACCTCTTGAAACTGATGTCAAACTTGATGGACAAGGAAGTAAAATGAAGATGCCAAAGTTTGGGTTTAAAATGCCTAAAATGAAAGGACCTGAATGGGATTCAAGTTTGCCCAAGAAAGATGTGGATGTCACGCTAACAGAAACAAAAGCTGAAGTGAAACTTCCAGAAGCTCTTGATGTTGATGTAACACTACACAGTGTAGATGTTTCCATTCCAGAGCATGAACTCGTAGTTATAAAACCTGAAGTGGAAATAAAACCTGTAGATATCAAAGCTGAGGTTGATGGACAACGAAGCAAATTCAAGATGCCAAAGTTTGGAATTAAAATGCCAAAAATAAAAGGTCCAGAATTGGATTTGAGCTTGTCCAGGAAAGATGGTGATGTCACATTACCAGAAGCTGAAGCTGAGATCACACTCCAAGATGTTCCTGATGTAGATATTTCTCTTGTTCCAAAGCAAAAGCTTGAAGTTGAACAATCTGATGTGGAAATCAAACTACATGAAACTGATAATGATTTTGATGGACAAGGACCCAAATTCAAGATGCCAAAGTTTGGAATAAAAATGCCTAAACTTAAAGGGCCAGATGTGGATTTAAGCATTTCCAGGAAAGACATCGATGTCACATTACCAGAAGCTAAAGCTGAGGTTCCAGATGCCCCCAAGGTTGACGTAACTCATGGAAGTGTGGATTTGACTTTACCAAAAGCTGAAGCAGAAATAGATTTCCCGGACGTTGAATTAAAAGAACCTCCTGCCAATGTAGATATTAAGGTCCCTGGGATTGAAACTCAAACAGGCAGCACGAAAGAATCCCCATCTAAATTTAAATTACCTTCATTTAAATTTCCCAAATTTGGAGTTGCTCTTTCCAATGCTAGTGCGGAGGCACCTGATGTGGGCGAAGGCCTAAAAGTTGAGGCTAATGTCCCAGAAATTTCTGGAGTTGATGTTAGTCTTGGGAAGGCAGATGCAAAGATGGAAATTGAAAAACCTGAAGCTGAATTAAAACAGTTACAACTGGAAAGTGAACTTGATGACAAAGGTATCAAGTTCAAAATGCCAAGGATTGCAATGTCAATGCCAAAAGTAAAAGGACCTGAAATTGATTTCAGTCGGTCAAATAAAGATGCAGAAATCAAATTACCAGAGGGTGAAGCAGAAGTTGATTTACCTAATGTTGAACTAAAAGAATCGTCTGACAAGGTAGACGTTAAAGTTCCTGAGATTAAAGCTCAGATGAGTAGCGTAAAAGGCTCTCCTTCCAAATTCAAATTACCAACATTTAAATTTCCCACATTTGGAATTGGTACTCCAGATGCCCATGCTGAAAAACCTGATGGAAAAGACATGGAAGTCGGGGGCCAAATAACAGGGGAGTTTGATGTTAATCCAGAAATGGCTTCAGTCTCAATTTTAGGAGAAAGTGAACTTTGTGAAGAGGAAAGAAAAGTAAAAATGGCAGAGGTTGGGATGTCACTGCCAAAACTGAAAGGACCTGAAATGAATATCAGCATGTCAAAGAAAGATGCAGAAGTCAAATTAAAAGAAGCTGAAGAAACTTCTGCTAAAGTTGAGATTAAAGAAATAGAAGACACAAAAGGCAGTTTAAAAGAATCACCATCAAAATTTAAATTTCCAACATTTAAATTCCCCAAATTTGGAGTTGCTCTTCCCAGTGTTAGCACTGAGGTGCCCAGTGTAGACAAAGATGTAGAAGTGGAGGTTAAAGTCCCAGAGTTACCAGACATCGATGTAAATCTGGGAATAACTGAGGTTTTAGTTCAAGAAGCACAAAAACCTGAAAATGAAATAAAACCACTGCAGCAAGAAGGAGAACTTGACAATCAAGAAGGCAAATTGATGGTGTCATTGCCGAAGATAAATGAAGAAGGAGAAATAAAATTACAAGTCAAGGAAGTCCAACTAAAAACAGAGGTCAAATCACCGGACATTGATGCCCAAATAGGCAGTGTCAAAGGATCACCATCCAAATTAAAATTGCCAACATTCAAATTTCCTAAATTTGGAATTGCTACTCCCAATGTTAGTGCTGAGGTACAGGGTGCATACAAATATGGTAAATCTGACAATGAGGAGATGAACATGCCTAAAAATGTCACTGAAGGAGATATTGCAGTACAGAGTATTGATATCAAACGTTCTTCTATAGATTTAAAGACAAGTGAACCTAAGAGTGATGGTAAAGGCAGCAAGTTTAAAGTTCCAAAGTTTGGATTGTCCTTGCCAAAAGTGCAAGGGCCCAAAATAGATCTAACGGTCTCCCATAAAGATGTAAAGGTCAACTTGCCAGACGTTGAAGCAAAGGATGACCTCCAAGAAATCCCTGACATTGATGTTCATCTTGGAAAAGCTGAGGTTATAATTCCAGAAGCAAAGATTGAAATTCAAAAACCACAGGTTAAACTCAAACCCTTAAAATCTCATGGAAAAATTGATGGACAAGGAGGCAGCATGTCAATAAAAGATGCACATATTAAAATCCCAGAAGCTGAAGCAGAAGTGAGTCTTTCTGATGTTGAACTAAAAGGTCCTACTGCCAAAATGGAAGTTACTGCTCCTGAGATTGGGGTGCAGTCTGAGAGTCTTAAAGGATCACCATCAAAATTTAAAATCCCGACATTTAAACTACCCAAATTTGGTATGGGTACTCCGACCGTCAGTGCTGAGGTACCTGATATAGAAGAGGACATAAATGTTGAAACTAAAATTGCAGAAGTCCCTGGAATTGATGCTCAGCTTGGAACAGATGTTACAATTACTGAAACAAGGGAAGAGATTCAAAAACCTGATGTGGAAATAAAACCCTTGCAGCCTGAAGTTGAACTTGGTGGGCAAAGCAGCAAGTTGAAAAAATCAAGGTTTTCTTTGCCTAAAATTTCCCGTTCAAAACCTAGTGTCAAAGCCACTGAGGTTGATGTCAGTCTTTGTGATGTGACTGCTGCACTTCCAGATACAGACACTCAATTGGAAGGAGAAGTGGATATGACACACCCTGAGCAGGAAGCAGGTGTCGACGGACAAGAAATCAAATTTAAAATGCCAAAGATAGGAGTCACAATGGAGGAAGTTAAAGGGCCGCAGATTGATATAAGCTTATCAAAGAATGATGGTGAATTGACAAAACAAGATGTCACGGCTGAGGTCAAACCTACCAAAGCGCCCTCTGCTGAAACAGAAATGACACCTAAGATTAAAGTTGTAACAAAGAAGAAAGAAGGATCCCCTTCAAAATTTAAAATGCCCACATTCAAATTACCAAAATTTGGAGATGGCTCTCCAAAATCCACTGCAGAAATACCAACAGAAATCAATGAAGCCGACATCAATAATCCTGAAGAGGTTCTTGCAATTGAGATTGCAGCATCTAGCATAGCAAAAAAGGGTATTGATGACACAATACCTGAGGTCAAAGTAGATGTCCAGATTCCAGGTGCTGAAAAAGAACAAGCAAGTTCACCATTAAGATTTAAAATGCCCACATTCACATTACCTAAATTTGGAGGTGCTGCTACATCTGTTAATGTGGAGATACCTGATGTGGAGCAAGAAATTAAGGTGACTGTAGAAGATATGAATATAACAGGAACAAAAACTGAAGGTAAACATCCTGATTTGGAAACTAATCAGCCTGTGATTTCAATGTCAGAACCAGAGGCAGAAGCAGATGATGCAAAGCTGAAAAAGACAAGCTGGACTTTGCCCAAATTTTCATTTTCAAAAACAAGCGTTAAAGGACCTGAGGTTAATATTGACCCTGACATGCCAGAAGTTGATGTAACACAACCCACAGATGGTCACTCAACAGACCCCAAGGAATCCCAAGAGGTTACAGTAGAGGTGGAACCTGCAACAGATGTTGACATCAAATTGAAAAAACAAAAATTTTCTTTTCCCAAATTTTCATTTTCAAAGCAAAGTTCAAAAGAGTTGGATGTTGAAGTCAGTGTTCCAGAGGGAAATGTGGAAGTCATTACACCTGAAGCAACTGTTAAAACACCAGAAAGTGATGTTCAGATACAGGAGCAAAGCAAGTTTAAAATGCCAAAATTTGGGATCTCAGTTCCAAAAGGGCCTGACATCGACATAAACCTCTCAAAGAAAGACACAGATGTAACAGTGCCTAAAGCTGAAATTGAGGCTAGAGTTCCAGAGTTGGCGTTAGAACCATCTGAGGGTTCAGCACGGATAGATGAGAAAGGAAGCAAGTTTAAAATGCCCAGGTTTGGAATCACTATGCCAAAGGTAAAGAGTACTGAAATAGACTTGTCAAAAAAAGATACAGATGTGACAATCCCAGAAGTTAAAGCTGAAGTTCAGCTTACAGAGGTGAAACAACCAACTGCAAAAGTAGAAATTGGCAAAGCAAGTAAGTTGGAGGGCTCTCCATCTAAACTTAAAATGCCAACCATCACATTACCAAAATTTGCTTCTACAAAGGTCAGCATGCAAATAAGTGATGTGAATAGTGACGTTAAAATTGACAGTGCAAAGGTGGATGAATCCGAAGTAGAACCTACAGTTGGGATTGTTGATGCTGAAGGTCCGTCTGTAGAGTTAAAGACTAAGGAAGGTGAAATTGAAGGATCAGAGAGCAGGTTTAGGATGCCACGCTTTGGAATTTCAGTGCCAAAAGTCAAAAGTCCTGAAATTGACTTGGGCATGACAAGTAAGACCACAGATCCACTACCTGGTGTTGACATCAAGGAATCTGAAACTTCTGGTTTGGTCCAAGATGCATCTACAGCTGAGACTGAAGCAAAGTCTAAACGCCAAAACTGGTCATTTCCAAAATTTTCATTTTCAAAAACTGGTGGTAAAGTCGACGTTGATGTTGACACTGAAACACCAAAGGATAACATCACATCAGCAGATGTCAAAGCAGAAGTCCGCTCACCAAATGTTGACATTAAAGGGCCGTCGCTACCAACGGAAGAACCTATTTATGCTGAAGTTGATGCAAGTTTTAAAAAATCAAAATTTTCACTGCCAAAAATTTCATTTTCAAAGTCAAGTGCCGCTGCACCAGAGAGTGTTGAAGTCCCACAAGTTGAAGTTTCTCTTCTGGAAGGAGAAGTAAAAGTTAAACAACCTGAAATGAAGACCAAAACACCTGAGGTTGATGTAAATACATCACGGACGGATGCCAACATCACGCTGCCAGATGTAAAAGCAGAGGTCAAACTACCAGAGATTGAGTTCAAAGAATCTTCAGCCAGTATTGACACTGAGGCCAAGTCGAAAGGTGTTGGAGGATCGCCGCTGAAATTTAAAATGCCAACATTTAAAATGCCTAAATTTGGTGGTACCACCTATGAAGTTACTGTCGAGGCATCGGATGCAGAAAAAATTGAAACGGATGCTGCAAAATCTGAAGTAGAAACTACTGGCAAAACCAAGGGTCCAAGTGTTGATGTTAAAAGTGATACAACCCAAGATGCAACGTTGGAAGAACAACCGGCTGACAGTGACAGTGCAGGTCATGACTCTCCAAGTAGATTCAAGCTGCCATCATTTAAAATGCCTAAGCTGGGTTTTTCAAGAACCAAACCTGAAGAAACTGTCCCTGCTGACCATGAAGGTAAAGAAAATCAGCCTGAACCAGGAGGGGAAGGTAAATCACAAGTAACATTGACATCATTTAATGACATTCTCGAAAACATTGATGTTAAAATTGATGTTTCAAAACCAGATAAAGTGGAGGAGGACCTTGAAACAAGTGATCTCAGTGGAACACAGCCTGAGTCAAACGAAAAGGACACAGATGCAAAGCAAGATGCAACAAGAAGTCCAGAGAAGACAGGGTGGTTTAAATTCCCCAGGTTTGGACTGTCCTCTCCATCAGAACCTGTCAAAACACCTGAAATAGACAAACACTGGGCTGAAAAGAGCCCAGTAGGAGAAATGGGGGTGGAGGAAACAAGTCCAAGTCTTTCAGTTCAGTCCTCAGATGCCTTTGCGGATGTTAGCTCTACGATGACAAGTGAACACGTTGGTCTTTCCTTATCTTCCCCCACTAAGGTTACAGTTAAATACTCTGATCCTGACGGGGCTTCAGGATCTGAAGAAATACACAGTAAAGTTGTCACTTCCACCACAAAGACTGAACTGATCTCAGTTGAGCCAAACCTGCCAGAGAAAATCACTATACTGTCATCTGCGGCCTCATCTTCATCAGAGGACACACTGCAACTCAAATCTGGAAAAATACACATCATAACATCCAACATACAAGCGACTCCAGAGGCACATCACGCCAAGCTACTTACTGCTATCCAAGTTCAACCGACCTCCAATTTTCCTCTGCAGTCAGAGGCTGGGGAAGCCATGTCCTGGACTGCTGAAGAATCCCAAGGTGGCAAGAGAATGGTTTTTGAAAAGCACTTTTATCAGGAAACATCAAGCCAAAAATGTGAAAGCAAAGAAACAGTTGTAATAACAAAACAGATAAGGCAAATCTCAGGTGAGACTGCCACGTCCATACAACGACTGAAAGACTCTGTGCACTCCGAAAAAATGAGGTTTTTCGACGGTGCCAAAAAGTGAAACCATATAACATTACAACATTACATGCTGTCTAAAGTCAGTGCTGGCTCTAACTGGTCTGTGGTGTATTTAGATTATTATAGTGATGTGAGATGAATAAAAGTGAGAGAGAAAACATGTAGGTAGCATTGACAAAATAAAACAAACAGACTTAGCTAAACGTTTATGAAAACTGCTGTTCCAAAAGTTGTAGCCATAAAAGTAGTTTGGAAGGAACTCCATTACCAGTAATGAAGCATCAGTGAACAACACTTAAGGATATTATGGTCTTACTGTTTAAGGTTGCCATGATGAATCTACCATTTACAGCTTTTTTCCTCAATAGATTACTACCAACAACATTGTGACACTTGATGAAAAGTGCACTTGATTTATAAATGTAGAAAAATGTGGCTCTTTGGTTGTTAACTCTGGTTGGATGTTACTTCATTTGTAAAGCGATTGATTTAACGTACGCATACAATGTGTTCACTTGTTTTTAAGAGGTGAAAATGAATGCAACTCATGCTCATGAGTATGATATAGTATTGTGTATTTTGAGGCCTGGATGTGAATTTTGTAATCCTGAGGAGGTTGAGAACAAAAACATTTGAACCGTCTCTTCAGTTGGAGATAAAAAGAGACAGCCCTCGTGTTTTTCTCATGTGAGAATAGTGCTATATGGCAAGTTTCATTGATGACCCCTATTTGATTTCTGACCCATATAGGGGTGAGTGTTCAAAAACGTAACATTTCTCCAAAAAAAAGTATTATTTTAGGTATTTCCCCAACTTGCCCATGAAGGTCTTTTACAAACCATTCATCATGCATTTGTTTGTTTCGCAACATTTATGCATAAATGTAGTCTCAGTGTAGTGTAATTGTTGGTGCACTACAATTAAATATCAAATCACATTTTACTGACATTCCACCAATTTTTTACAGTGATTTTACTCTAGGTTGACAGCAAAAACATCTCCAATACATGAATGCAGTATATGTCAAAGATAAATATGTATATATATTATGATATTACCAAGCCATTCCTGTTGCTACAGCTACCATGTAAAGAAGTGTAACGCAAAACTAAAGTATAATGGTTCTATGATCAAAAACAGCAAGTTTGCAAATATATTTTTACTAATACTTTGCAATTTGGAGCCTTAATTTGCAACAGTCAGATAATTGTTTTATTGTGTATTCTTTAATATCACTGTATAAAGTGGGGATGTGGAAGTGACTGTGATTGTATATAGCTTTTAATGAACTTTGGAGCTGATCTGATTGCTGCTCCTGTTTGTATTCTGACAAGCTTTAATTCAATGTGTTTGCAGAGTTATACACAATAAATGAAATATTATACTGGACATAATGGTGACATATGTATATCTTAAGTTTTTGGTTGTTTTTTTCGTCGCCTTTTGACTTTTAGATATATATTAATTGTGATTAAAATTGTCGAGAAAATATATTTGTAAAAATTCGGTGAAATCTAGATGTATGTAAAATGTTAAAACATAAGGGTGCCGGTGAAACACATACAAGAAGTCAACACTAGATGGAGACAGACCTACAGATTGTAGATCTCCGAACGTTACAAATTCACGACGGCTAATTAAGTAAATAAAAGTACATTCTTGTTCAACATAAAACTCTAAACACATAAACTATAAAACGAATGTCTTTGTTTTGTTTCGGTGACATTCGTTTAACCTGGAACTCGTTTTTAATCATGTGAAAAACACTTAAACATGCACTCACCTTTTGAAATTTCCAACGGCTGGCTGTATCGTTACCCATTAACTGCTGCATTAATGGATCCTCGGATATTTGATTTTTGTAAAAACCGACGGTACAAACGATCTATGGGAAAATGTAAGCATATTCATGTAAACTAATGAAAACGAATTAAATTCACAACACTAATAGGTTTGCTCTTAATGACCAAAGTTAAAGCAACAAAACACCTTTGTAACAGGAAACGCGAGTTGAACAGCTATTTATTATTTACACGGGGTTCGTTGCTCACCCTGTGGTCATTATTTTTTCCGTTAATTTACTCGTACAAGTAATTTCGTGTCTAATAAAGTTAGTAAAGTTAAAAACTAGTTAAGTCTCCGGCTCCCTCGCGAATCTGAATCTGAACCTTATGTGAAATAATTGTTGGCGCTCACCCAGGTGTTACTGTCGTATTTCGAAATGTCCGATGGTCGACGAAGGCAGCGCTAGTCCTTACTGCGCAGACTCCTCGGACGAGCGGTAACTTCTCCAAGAGATACATCAGCATCAGCATCCCCAGCAGCAGCAGCCAGCAGCAGCAGGAGCAGCAGAGCCAGCAACAAAAGCAGAACCAGCGGCAGAAGCATCAGTGTGATGAGGCAGGTGAGAACAGAGATTTAGAGACATTAAACAGCCTGCTGATAGGTACCGAAAATGTATCATTTAAAAATTACATTAATTGTTTGACATACTTAAATTGTAAAAAAAAAAATAACTGAATGACTGAAATTTTAAACTGATCATCAGAGGTTTGTGTGTCAGTGTTGGTCCATCCAGAACAGTATTTTATTGACACCATTTTCCAACCAATGGGATTTTTGAATAATTATTAATTATTGAATAATTATTTGTGTCAGTTTATAAATGTATATGTGTGTCTGGCAGAGTTGGCTGGAAAGCAAATATCTCAATGTAAAATTGTGAATCAGAGCAGCTGCATCTCCCTGGGTTGAATACATGAATGTGTGATTGAAATGACTGCATACAACCAGAATTCTGTGCTAAATTTGTGGCTTCTGTGTTGATGTGCTTAAAAATCTGAATCATAATTGAGCAGATAAATTAGGTTAAAAAAACAATTCAAATTACAATAAAGAGAACGGTAATTACTGTGTTTGAACATTGATTTAAGTTTATATATATATATATATATATTTGCTGTTCATAGAGGAGGTTGAGTTACTGCTTCTCCCACTACTGGTTCAGAGTCCAGAGGTGGTGTATAAGGATTGGCTCCAGCTCTGTAGCCCTGACAAGGACTGGGCCAGAGAAGATTAATGAATCAACGACAAGAAGGGCTCATGACTGTAACCCAAATACCTAAACTACAGGAAAAGATGGATGAGTGAAATGAAGCTGGTTTCTGGTAACCTTTATGATGGACAGAGAAGGTGGCTGGGACCGCATTTTCTTCTCTTCCAACAACCTTGATGTGGTGTTTTTATCGTCTGTCAATCACATGTCCAACAACCTTGATGTGGTGTTTTTATCTGTCAATCACATGCGTGTGACCCAAAGAGTCGCTGTAGATGTGAAATTAGATTTGTAGGACGTAAATGATGATGGATAAACATTGAATGTTTTTTAATGAGCTTGATTAAGTTTGGTTAATCATCAGTGGTGTCACATCTACACTTAACCTTCAAATTCCTGCATCTGTTAGCAAATGCATCCCCATAAGACTAATTAACTTCCCTGGATTAAAACAGTGACATTATACCAGGCCTCCACCATCATATTCGGTCTCTGACGGGCAGCAGTGACCACACTGCTTTTCACCAGAGGGACAATACCAGCCTGTGATGAGGAATACAAGCTGCTTTGTCTCTGTCGTGACCATGAAGGACAAGCGTGATTCCTGGTTTTCTCATTGATATTTCTAACAACAACACAAACAAAAACACACTCTTTGTCCCAATGATACCAATCGCTGCGTAACGGCTTTGTCACATGAATGCCCCGAAAATCGGCCTGTGAGTTTCGGAGACAATCTGAGGCGTAAAATCCCAATTGCTGGTCCCCATGGAAACAGAGACTGGCAGTCTGATTGTATGTAAAGTAGTGTTAGTGAAAAGTTGTCACATGCAAAGTCTGATTTTCACAGTTCAGCAGAGGAGTGTTACTACTGTCTGAATATTAAACAGACCATTAGAGAAGGGTTTCATCAGTGCTGATGGACTCACTCAGCAGAATACAATTCAGTGCAAAATAATACATTACACTACAACTCTAGCTGGCTGAATGAACATTAGTAAACACAGAGATAGACAGTAGAAGCTGTTGTGGAACACTGATGGCTAAAAAGCGATATAGTTCTGTGGTTGGAGAAGTGAAAACCCAAAGGAACAGTGAGAGAAGGACAACGAAACAACAAAGTTTGTTGTTTGTTTGTCTTTGACTGTTTGTCTAACATTGTCATGCCAAAGTTGTCATGCCAAAGTTGCAGCAGTCACTCACATTGTGTTCAGGTACCATCGGAATCATGAAAATCTGCAGTTAATGTGTTGTACAGTTCAAGACAAATGTTTTATGAAAAAATAAATTAATAGTTATAAGTTTTGGGTTTTTTTCCTTTCATTTTCTAAGGTCCCATTGGCACCCCCTTGGGGGCCTCACTTTGAAAACCACTTCCCTTGATAACCCATAGGTCATTGAAGACTCACTACGCTTTATCATCATTTATCATGTTTAAAACTGCTGTTTTTAATAATGGATAATTGTTGAGTATTTATTAGTAAAGATGAATATTATTTACCCTCTGTCTACACAGTGTCAGTGTTTCAGCTCATCAGTGCTGATGCTTGTTGTGAAGTTTTACTGATCTACTGTGGTGTCGTGTGTACAAGTGTCTGCACGTCAGTAAAAATAAACCAGCCCAACAAAGGCAGTGATGACTAAAACAGGAACTCATTAGGGGTGAACACTACAGACTAAATACCTCATCTGTGTGACGTCAGGTGCCTAAAAGAGGAATTGTCTCGTTATTGATAGTCAGAGTCTTCAATAGTGGGGTGGTTAAAAAACAATGGAAGCAGAGCTGGGAGCCAGTCTAACGACTGTTGTTGGATGGTTGGTGTCAATCAGCATGTTTTCTGCTGCAGCATGACTGAAGTGATGAACTCTCTGGAGCCCGGGGCTGAGGACTTCTGCGGAGGAGGAGCAGGAGGAGGCGAGGAGGCAGTATCCTTCAAGGCGTGCGCTCGTGTGTGTGTGTGTGTGTGTGTGTGTGTGTATGCAGATATAATTTAAATGTGTCAATGTTACAGCAGTGAGCCACAGTGAAAAGTAGGTCAACAGAGGAGCAGGGCGTTAGATGGATTCAGTTTAATGACATGTTTGAGTTTAAACCAACTTCTGTAATAATTAACCCATGCATTACAGTTAATGAATGGCAACATCCTGTTTGTAATGAGAGGATCCATTTGTATTTGATGTAGATGCTTCACCTGTGATCAGAGGCTTCGTCAGCTCTGACATAATGCAGGGAGACCACAGCGACTTAGTCTCTTGTCCACCTCATGACCCAGGTTCACAGATTTGTTGCAGGCACTAATTACACCCCATATATTCAGAGTGTATCTGACTGGATGTTGATCTCGTCTACATGACCGCCTGAACAGTAATGGACCAGGACTTCATAGTAGGGATGACTTGACCTGAGCACTTCTTAGTTTCTCTTACATGAGCTTCTACCAGATCTTCCCAGACCCCCATGAAAGGTACCCAAAGTTGTCCAAGAGGCTTCCATCCATTGTCGTGGAGCCGACAGATGGAGCCGAGGTGGAGAGTGGTGAGCTGCGCTGGCCGCCAGACGAGCCCAGTTCTCCAGACGCTCAGACTGAGAGACAGAGTGTAATGGAGCAGCCTGCAGGCCAGTTGATCTTCTCTGTATTACCTTATCTGATTCCAGGATGTTAGAACTAGCCCAACAAGCCAACCACTGTTCACCAAACTTTCTTGCAAGCTGACATAACCATCCTTTTCACCTCCTTCACCTGCAGGCCATGTACACCAGTGTCACTGCTTGAAAATAGAAGGTTTGATTCACTTTTCACTTTCTGCATCTTCTCCTAGATGTGGAGCAGTCCAGTGTCCATGAGCAGGAAGAAGCTTCCGGACTGGAGATGCAGGACTGATGAATTCTATTCATGGAAATTCCACTCCAACTGTGAGTGTGTCCAGACTCGGATTTAAAGACAAATGGGCCAAGAAGGAAATAGATCAGATTTTCAACCCCCGTCTCAGGGCTTGGAGCCAGAGTCCAACCAGAGCTGGAACCTTTTACAGTTCTTCTTTCATTCCATGTAGTTAATGAAGCCTTTATTGAAATGTGTTTTACTAAATGCTTTTATTCAGTATTTCTGTCTAGGGTTACATGTCAAAAATGATGAAAAACCCTCTGCTGTTGTCAGAAAACTTCAATATGAAAACACTTTTTTTTTCATTTGTTTAAATCAGACCACTGGGGTCTCTTCTCTCTGGCTCCCAGCTCTGGAAGTCTGGATCCTGGACATGGAAGGAAGTCTGAATGCTGTCATAGATCCTGTGTGCCATACTACTATTACTATTACTACTACTACTACTACTACTACTACTGTTACTACTAC